CAAAATTCAAAGCTTTTTAGGTGCTCAGGTACTCAACCTGAGTTGGGCAGGGTGGCCTCTTCTGGGCTCCTCAGTGTTCCAAATAATTTGGTGCTAACTTCAACCTCTCAGCTTTAATTCAGCTCTGGTATATGGGTTCTTTGACTAGTTAATTTTCTAGCACTGGAAGGGGATTATTATTGGAATAGAGTCATGGTGAAGGTTAATTTCCTTTGCCTTTTGAGTATAGAACTTTCTCTGGGATGCTTGCACCTGTTGCATCTGGGATACTAGGATCCAGGTTCTCTGAAGTCTGGTTAATAGCAATATATTACTTAATTGTTATCTCAGCTTTAGCCTTGATATGGGTGAGGTAGGGGTTTCCCATAGAAGAGCTACATGATGCAGAGAAAAACAGGTGAAAAACAGGTGAGTTAAACCAGCCTGGGCATAATTGTCATGTCTTGGTGCCTCAGGCTCCAGTCAACAGTCATTACCTCACACATTGCAATGGGCAAGAGTGTCCATTGTGCTCAAGTCCCCCTATTTAGGAATGTAAGGCATTTCATTCTCCAGTTCTAAGTGCCTCATTTCTGTCTGGAAGAAAAATGCCTGCTTGTAGACATCAGTCTACTGCTCTGGCATGCTGCCTCCAGAGGTTTGTCCTCCATCCTGCACATTGACTCTTTGTGTCATCCTCTCTAGTGTAGCCACCTGGCTTCTAAAGTCCCCAGTGTTGGTGTGAAATCTCAGTCTACAACAGAGTGGCTCTGGGTAGCAGCCACCCCTCCCTCTCTTGGCTTGTACTGCCATAGTATGCTACAATAAATTTAAATTTCAGTTTTCACTACTGTCTCTGCCATGTTGCCCCTCTTGATGCATGCATACAGTAGTTATCCATTCATCACCCAGGGACTGTCCTTATTTAAGTATAATTTGTTTGTAAATATGGAACAGAGCCTCTTCATTCTTCTGCTTTCTCACTCATTGAACATCTGCACTTTTGCTTCATATTAGTTTTTTCCTTAATATTTTGTTTTGATATTTTACATTTAATTATATTTTGGGCTGAAAACCAGTCTTCTTACTATCACTTCTACATTTTTGTGTTTTTCATTTTGAATAATTGCTTAATTGCTCCCTCTGCCACTTATATCTGCTATCCAATGTAGGAATTGTTTATAGGTAGAAAGTCATTTCATATTTGAAAATGTTGACCTGTAGCTCTTTTATACTTAACAATATTTTGCCTGAGTGTAGTAGTTTAAATGCCCCTTTATTTTGTTCAAAACTTTGTAAATATTTCTTCATTGTCCTTAAGCATTCACTGTGGTTTGCAAGATGTCAGAGGACAATTTGATTTCCCCATTAGTGTAATTTATTGTTTTTGCTTTGGCTACCACTTTTTATTTTATGTTTAGGATATGTTCTTGGTATTGAATAATCTTAGAACACATTTTCCTGACTCATTATTGTACTTTTTTAGCCTGCAGTTGTTTTGTTTTGCTTTGTTTTTTGTTTGTTTGTTTTGTTTTGTTTTAGCATTTCATGTATTTTTAACTTTATATCGGGAGCACCTATTATCCTCACCTTTGATTTAATGTATGGTCTTCTTTTTTAGTTATTGCTTTAAGTCTTTTTTTGTTTGTATTCTCTGTGATTAATGCAAATTTTGTGATAGCAATTAATTTTCAGTTATATTGCTTCAGTTTCTTGATGTTTCAAATTTATCCTTTAATAGTAGCATGTTGATTCATAGTCTCTTTAATATCTGTTCCTCATCCTTCCTTTCTCATTTAATTGAATAGCCATGTTCTTGTTAGGTTAATCTAGACCTCAAAACTGGAAAATTTTGTTGTTTTCTCTTAGTCTTATTTTCTTTTAGGCTTGACTTTCTGTCTTATGTGTGTTAATTCCTTTCTTATTCATTGATTAGTGTATCCCAAATTGGCCATGAGGTTGCTACCAAATTTTGTTCTTGTTTGGACCTCCTCCTTGTTCATATTTTCTATGTGTCCTCATAGAGGTTGGAACTTATATACTCCCTTCTCACCACTGTATCCAAGTCCAGTTTAGTCCTTGCTTCAGCACTTTATTTCCAAAGCCATTTTCCTTAGTGTATATGTTTTTTCCTTATCTAGTGGGCATAGTGGTGAAATACTGTATATCAGATTTTTAGGTTGTGTAGTTTTTTTTTTTTTTTTTACTTAAAGATTTTTTTTATGCATACAGAAATGGGGTATAAGCCAGAGGTGTAGGTGTGACGAGAGGATTCAGCAGAAACAGAGTGGGGAGTAGAACAGGCAGATTGACAAAGTATACTGCTGAGGGGAGCAGCGGGCGAGACAGGAGCTGTCTGCTGTATCATGTGAATCACCTCCTGGGCAGGGATCAAACATGCACTGAAGCAGCCACAGCTTGACTTAGCTTTGCAGTACAGTTCTCCTACCCTCTGCACCACCAGGGTTTTAATGTCTGATATTTTACTTAAATATCTAGGGTTTATTTTGCTTAATTAGGAACATGGGTGGTATGGGTACCCTATTCTCATGGAAAAAAAAAAAGTTTTTGTCTTCCTACTGGTTCCCCAGTGCAGTTTGTACTTTGCAATTTTATTTTAAGTTACACCCTGCCTATCCCCTTTCTCCATTTCCTTTGTAAAAGAGTGAAAATACAGTTTTTTTTCCCACTCTAGAATTTTATGTTTTTGTTTTAGGCCATTTACCACCTCCCTTTCTGTTCCAGTCTGGTTGTTAACAGATGACATTTTGTTGTTGCTGCTGGATTTTTTTGATTGGCTGTTTTATATTTTTGATCCTGTGTCTAGTATTAGGGGAGAGAAATTCTCTTAAGTATTGTTATTTCTCCACTCAGTGAAGACATGCTAAGGTAATTGATCCAGTGTGACATGAATTTTGAGGACTCACCTGGCTACTCTGGACTTCAGTTTTTTCCCCCTCTCCTGTATGCCCATGTTTATTTAAGTTGAGATTTTTCTATACCTAAAAAATGTAATTTGATATTACAGTATTGAAAAATGTTAAAACATCAGTTAAACCTAATGTAATACATTTAAAAATCCTAGAATTTCCTTTCTTCTCAATTTTATGCCTCCCAGTTTTTAAAAGAGACTTTGGAAATTAAGGAAGTGAATCTTTGACTTCTTAAAGACTTTTACAAAGTTCACCTTAGATTGACATACTGAAATTTTTGGATGTTCTTGACTTTTTTCCATTACAGGCATTATAGAAGGAAGTTCATTTTTATTTGGCAGTGTTTACTTGGGGATTTTTGTAATAACCCTTAAATGTATGTTTTCTTCATCAGGACCTGACTAACATAAAAAATCATTAAATAAAGGAAAATATACATTCTTGGAACTTTTTGTAAGATAAAAAGAACCGTCATAACTTTGATTTTTTTTTCTTATTAAAGATTTACTTCTAGTTGGTTTTTAGGTTTTTTTAAATTGAAAATGTCAATACTATATATTCGAAGTATCTTAGAAACCCACAGGGATCTTCTGATAATGACTAATAGTTCTTTACCATCTTCTTTTTTCTGTTAGTCATATATAGTAGTTGACTTTTTGAACTAAATTTTTCATATTTGGGTAAGATTACTGTGAGGAAAGTACTAGAGTTTTTTTTCCCTACTTTTTACCACATGCTTCATGAAAAGGATGTTGTCTAATGTTCTGTGTGTATCAATAGCACTTTTCATTTTCTATCAGCAGACCATTCCGCCAACTTAATTTGTTGGTTTTTTTTTATTACATTACTTGATAATTTATTTAGTACATTATTAAGATTCTGACCTGTAAGTCTTTCAAACTGTGCTTATGAATTCAAAAGGTGATGAATGCAGTTATATTTTTATGACTTTTTAAGGCTTTTACCTTATTTATCTGAAAGAAAGCCCTGTATTCAACTCTGAGTTTTACAGATGAATTTAACTATTTTGAAAATATTTAATATTTTTGTACAAAGTTAAAATCTACAAGGTAATTACAGATAACAGTGATTTGCACCTTAAAAAACATTTTTATGCATTATTTTTATACATTATTTGAGCTTATCATAGCCTAAACAGAGTTTTCATAACAAAATTTACTGTCATGACAAAATTTACTGTGGCCCTTATTCATTGCCCTTTGAAGACATTCTTAGAAGTAGAATTGCTAACTCTAGGTCTATACACAGTTTAAGGTTTTTGATGCAAATTTGCCAAATGCCAATTATTTTCTGCTAATAATGTTGATTACTTTTACTGTGTCTATTTTGTGAATTGATTACTTGTATGCTTTTGCTCATTACTAATAACGTTAGGTTCATCTTTTTCTTATTAATCTGTAAGTGCTCTTTGTTTAGTAATGATATTTACCTTTTGCAAGTGTACAAAGGGATTTCTTTCTCTGCTCACATCCCCAAGTTTGACATTTCCCGTTTGTTGTGGTTTGTTATATATTTTTGAGTTTTGGTTTACCTTATAGTTATTTTAATTTTTTTACATAAACATTGATGTTTTAAAAATATTTTTTCTTACGAATCTTCCTTTTGCTTTTATGCTCAAACGTTCTTCCCAACCTAGTGACTGTGTAAATTTTTATTAACATTCAAGTGGGAATTTTTTTCTTAATAAATTTTTATTGAGATGGAATTGGTTTATAATTCTAAAATTTAATATTTTTTAAAAGTTTATTATCCCCCAAATTTCTTATTTCTAATTATTTCACTCTGCTTAACCTTTATGAACAAATTGAAGAAATGACTCCCCCTTTCAAACATGGTATTTCTTTCTTTTAAATGTTAACAGAAGTTTGATATTAAGAAATAATCTTCTCTTTTACTTACAAAGTTCAATAAAAGTGGATATATTTTCAAATGATAATATATTTGCCCCAAAGTTATAAGCATGGAAAGAATTAAAAGTCATTATTTATCATCCACCCACAAAGTCTGATTTAATTTCACGTTTGTTAGCTGCAGTCTAACAGAGAGCACTGGTGATTTGTTTTACAGAATCCTTGCAACCTTTTCTGGAATCCTGTAGCAACACTTTGTTTTTTCGTACTTGCTCTGTGCTGCTTCGAACCCCTAAGCTTGATCTTCAAATACTAGAAAAGCTCAGTATTATTCTGCAGAAACTTTCTAAAATCAAGTAAGAATTTCTTATGTATACATTTCTATTAAAGATCTTATTATTATAAAGACTTTTCTGAAGCATTCCTTGCTCAATTTTATTAAATAAAAACCTCCAATAAATGTGGAAAATTGAAAATCATTGTGATTCTAACATACTGATAGACTGAGTGTTAATTTCAGAATGTCTTGTTTCTTAGTTCTGTTCTACAAAGTGATCCTTAAGTACCACAAAACTAAAGGCACTTTTAGCAGACAAGTGATAGTATGAGAACAAATCATGGCTCTGATATTCTATAAAACCACAGGTGAAAATAAAAAAGCTAATAAAATATATTATGCCGATCCTATTTATATACTGAAATGAGTAGAGAGAACAGGAATGAGTTAGGCAGAAAAATTTAGAATGATGTTAGTAATGGGTTTATTTATTTATTTTTTTACAAAAGTTTATTTTTACATCATTTTGTACATTTTTTTAGTGATGGGTTTATTTTAAGAAACTGTTACAGGCTTGCTGCTATCACCAACTTGAATTTCACATTGAGGTCTTTCTTTTCTGATTCTTTCCCCTGTCACAAAAACTGGTATAACTAGTTTTTAAATTATAAATAAAGACATAAAATTTTAACCTATATTTTTGTTAATTCTCGATATAGTCTTATATTTCTTTTGAGGGAAATTTGAATATTTTATATCTATCTCATTTTTATAACATTAGAATTTTGGTTGGATCACCTTCTTTTTAGATTTTTGATACAAATTTGCCAAATTCCAAATATTTTGTTCCTATTCAAGTTGAGTATTTACCCTTTTTCCCCTTATCTGTGATTTCCATGTTAGTGAATTAAGTATTTTACTAGTCCTCAATATATTTGAATAGTAAAATTATCCTATTCAAGTTGAGTATTTATCCCTTTTCCCCTTATCTGTGATTTCCATGGTAGTGAATTAAGTATTTTATCAGTCCTCGGTATATTTGAATAGTAAAATTATTTGAAGTTGTGTGATAATGGGTTCATTCTGCTAGGTACCTACCTCTCTGTAGTAAGTTATTACCAAATTATGACCTCATACTCAAGTCACTAAGTAACTAGTTTTGGTCTGGCATCAATTAAACAACTTAATTCATTGTCTTACATACTGACTATGCCACGATAGTCTGGATCTGTAATCAATATATTTGCAGTGAGGCCTATTGTGCCATAGAGCTGTTTAGGATTATTTTTTAATTTTTAATTCATGAGATCTTTTTTCTTAAGTAATCTCGAAGTACAAGTATATCCATGAGCCAAAGTGTTGGTGATATTTTTTGTGACTTATGTTCATATTAGACTTAATGAACTAAGACAAAGTTTGAACAAGAGAATTGAGTTGATATTCAAGGAAGTCTTAAGGTAAACCTTCAAAACCACAAAAATGTAAATCTTGTGTCAGATGGATGGTTATATAAAGCTATTTAATATTTTCTCTCAAGAGGTAAATAATCGTAGACAAGGAAGTAGGAAATATGTTACCAGATTTAATTCTGATTGAAAATGAAATTACGGACTGGTTATTAGAAAGGATGGCTGAAAAGGTATTTTGCAAATAAGTCAAAAGTAAACCTTTGACAGTATTCTGCCACTTTAAAAACCCAATCTTACTTAAAATAATCACATTCTCTAGCTTAGTAATGATAAAACAGGGTGCAGTTTTCAGTATTACAAAACATTTTATCCTTTTCCTTGAATATTTTTCCACATTAGGTTTACTTTATAAAATTCCGTTTGTCATGACATGCTAATCCTTTCATTACCTATATCTCCATTATTTCTGAAAGCAGCTATCATTCCCCCATGTTTACACATAAGTCACCACTCAGTGCCACTACAGATAAATTTGCTAAGTGTATATAATTTAACTAATGTAACTCATTTTTTTACAGGAGTAATAAGAAGCTTTTTGAACTTTTTACAATTCATCTGATGCTTCAAGAAATACAAAGGACAACACATCCAGAGCACGCCTTTCTCTGTATTAACCTAAATTCAACTTTGTTCAATTTGGGTTTAACAAAATGCAATTCCCTGGTCTCCAATGCAAGCCATTAGACTGGCTTATTATTACTTCTCAAATATTTGTGTTGCTTATTTGTAAGATTATAAAAATCACCAAAGTAACTAAAAATCTAACAAGTAAAGTTATTAGTAGCATCATTTATCATGAAAAGTAGAATTTTTTTAACTTTTAAAATGAAATCTACACTTCCATGGAATTTTTGAATTTTTGTTTTAATCTCAGCTTCAGGTAGTGCTAAGTATACAGGATGGATTTTCCAGAATTAATAATACTGGGGCTAATTTTTGTAAAAAGTTTTAGGAAAGTTTTTTTTAAATTGTGTGATTACTTGGAATAAAATTGGCATTTATGTGGGAACAGGGTTAGATCATGTCGTCATTCTGTTTTCATGTGTTACAAATCTACCCTATGTAATGTAGATATAGAAATACATAGTTAAAAATTTTAAATAATGCTTTTTTATTTTGGAAGCAAGTATCTTCCAGAATTTTTATTTGCTGCATTTTAAAAATATTTAAGGCTGTTTGTGTTGTTCCTCCCCAAATTCTTAGTCCTGCCAAGGCCAGAAATAGAATTCTGAAAGTTCTTTGAGGAACCCAGATCTAGAGGCTATAGGAAAGACCACTGTAACCCTGAGAGCAAGAGCATAGTGTCTGCAGATGCTGGTAAGATTGTTTTACCCCATGAAATGGTAACCATGAAGGAAGTCTTGTGGGGGGAATCTTTTCTAATGGGGAGGGGAGAGGGAGGTATCAGGCTCACCCTGCCAGATCTGAGGCAAATCAGCCATCTTCAGCCCCAGGAGGAGTCAGGCTGTCAAAGTATTCTAGCTTGTGTTCACCCTGGAAGCTGTGATAGATGTTGTTCTTTCTCAGTTTTGGGTTTCTGCAGATGTCTGCTCATAAAATTAGGCTAGAAGCAGAGTTCCAGCCAAACAAAGGCCCTGCAGACTTGGAGCACCACAGTCAGGCCTGAAATCCAATGCCTGCACAGGCACACTGGCTAGCTTGGGTTCCCAATGCTGAGTGAGAAAATGTATAGGTTGACTTATCCTCCAACCTGACCAGGAACTTCCGGCTTTAACTGCTTTAGAAGCATCTCTTTGTAGTGACTTGTAGAGAAACCTCCAAGTACATGGAAGTACAGACAGGTGTACCCTCCAGTATGGGCTCCTGCACTTGGTATGCTGCCTTCTTACACTTCCATATTGAAAGCTCTTCAGCCTCTCTCTGGAATTCTGGCAGGTCAGTTTTGAGTTGCCCTACTATATGAAAATATGAAAATTTAACCTCTAGAATCTGAATCACCTCCTTTACCTTCTTGGCTTTCCCAGTGAGATAGAAGAGGAAGAATTTAAGAAGGTGATCCCATTTACTATTACGCACCAAAAAATCATAGTAATAATCTAACAAAGGAGGTAAAAGATATATACAAAGGGAACTATAAGACGATGTTGAAATAAATAGAAGACACAAAGAAATGGAAAAATGTTGATTGGCAGACTCAACATTTATCTAAGTAGTTATTCTACCTAAAGCAGTATACAGATTCAATGAAATCCCAGTAAAAATATCAGTGGCATATTTCAAAGAACAGGAGCAAATACTACTGAAATTCATTTGGTATCAAAAAGACCCAAATAGCAAAAGCAATTGACAAAAAAGAAAGAGAATGCAAATACCATACTTCTGGACCTCAAACTATGTTATAAAGCCACAATAATTAAAACAGCCTGGTACTGGAACAAAAACAAATATACCGACCAATGGAATCAAATTAGGAGTCAAACCCAGAAGTATACCCATGTACACATGGCAATTAATCTACGACAAGGGAGCCAAAAACATGCTGGAACAGGGACAGCCTCTTCAATAAATAATGTTGGGAGAACTGGACAGCTGCAAAAGAATGAAACTAGACCATAATTTCACACCACACACCAAGATCAATTAAAAATGGATCAAAGACTTGTATATGAAATCTGAAACCATAAAATACAAGAAGAAAACATACACAAAACATTCCATAATATAAACCTATTGATTCCTTTAGGGATCTGTCTCTAACAGCAAAGAAAACAAAAGAGAACATAAACAGTTTCTTCAAACTAAAGTGTTTCTGCACAACAAAAGAAACCATAACTAACAAAAGCAAAAAAATACTTGCCTGAATGTGAAAAACTTTATATATGGTACATCTGACAAAGGACTGGTATGAAACATATGCAAAGCACTCACAAATCTCAACACACACACAAAAATTGTAGCCTAATCAAAAACATAGGGGAAAGAAATGAAACACACACCTCTACAAATAAGGCATTAGAATGCCAACAGGCACATGAAAAAACATTCGTGATTGGCCCTCCCTGGTGGCGCAGCAGGTTAAAGCACAGCACTAGGAAGCTGAAGTCACTTCCGCACGAGTTCGATCCCCACCTGCCCCGGAGATGATCACATGGTATGGCAGACCTCTCCTGACCTACCCGCTGCTCCCCTCAGCAGTGTACTTCATCGATCTGCCTGTTCTGCTCCCCACGCTGTCTCTGGTAAAGCCTCTTGCCACCCTGTGAGTCTCTGGCCTGTACCCCAGTTCTGTATGCACAAATAAATAAATCTTTAAAAAAAAATGTTCGTGATCACTTATTATTAAAGAAATGAAAAATAGAACACAATGAGATACCATTTCACACCTGTGATTATGGCCCATATGAAATGACCAGAAACAACAAGTACTGGCAAGGATATGGAGAAAAGGTAACTCTTTTACATTGGTGAGAAAGCAAGCTGTCCCAGTCTCTATTGAAGGCAGCATGGAAGTCTCAAAATATGGATCTGCCATTCAACCCTAGGCATCTAGCCAAACACTAATTTGAAAGGAAACTTGCACTCCCATGTTTATAGCAGCACTATTTTCTATAACTAAATTTAGAGAACAACCTAAGAACCAAAGAAAAGATGAATGGATCGAGAAGATGTAGTATATATACACAATGGAATACTAGTCAGCAATCACAAAAGATAAGCTCATGTCATATGTGACAAAATGAATAAAGCTGGAAGGGATTATGCTAGGTGAAATAAATTAGAAAGATAAATACCAGTTGGAGTCACATATACATGGAATATAAAGTAACTAAATAGTTGGGTAAAGAAAAACTGAAAAACTAACCCAACTGTCTACAGCACTGTGACACCAAGAGAAATGTGGGGGTAGGAGAAAGGAAAGAACAGGGAATAAAGGAGGCATAATGGTCTATGATGGTGGTGTATGAATGAGTTGGTAGTGGATGCACTATGGTGTTAATACCTGATGGGGATACTCCAATGTTATCTCAGTTAAGTATAAGAAAATTAATTTTAAAAAGAACCAAAGAAGATGGACTAATATCAAACCTAATACTTTTTTGAGGCTAGAAAATCATAAGTGAAAACTTAGAAGTCAGGATGAAAATAGTTAAAATTTTTAAATTCTGGTGAAAAGTTATGAAATAAATATGTAACACAGCTAGAAAGGAAATTCTGATTACTTTGAGATGAAATAAATATAGCAAAGTATAATGTTATGATATTAATGATCTAGACTAAAGGGGATCAACAGGCTAAAACAACAATTTAATAAAATATAACCATAAATTTATGTTAATTTATAGTGCCAAAGGGGGAGGGGATCTTCAGGGACTGCCCCCACCAGCATACTCATAACTCACTTGCGGAGTTTTAGTATAAAAGTGCTGGACTATCATAGATCTGACCAGCAGAGTTCCCTACATCCCAGAAGGAGCACTCCACAGAGATGCCTGCTAGTACCAGTAGCACAGTGTCCCAATGCATAGAACAAACAACAGGGGGAGGGAAAAATACAAATAACCAAGCAAGTCCTCTGGGGAAAAACACACCACAAAAAGAAAATCAGCCATCAGAACTCAGCATCAATAACATAAAAGAATTTCTCAACCTGCCAGGTAGAGAATTTAAAATTATCATGATAAAAAAACATAAAGAAGATCCCTCCCTGGTAGCCCAGCAGGTAAAAGTGCAGCACTGAGAAGCTGGCTGCAGCCACTTTAATGCAAGTTGGATCCCCATCCCAGAGGTGACCCACATAGTGCAGCAGAACTTAAGTCTCACCCACTGCTCCCCTCAGCATTGTATTCTGTCAGTCTGCCTGTTCTGCTCTCCACTTTGATTATGGTGAATCCTTCAGCAACCCTCCACCTCTGGCCTGTACCACCTCTGTTCTGTATGCATAAATAAATAAATCTTTTTTTAAAAAAAAAAAAGAAGGGCCCTCCTTGGTGGTGCGACAGGTTAAAACACAGCACTAAGAAGCTGAAGCCACGTCAGTATGAGTTTGACCCGCACCCCGGAGGTGATTCACATGGAGCAGCAGACCTCTCCTGGCCCACCCGCTGCTCCCCTCAGCAGTGTACTTTGTTGATTTGCCTGTTCTGCTCCCCACTGTCTCTAGTGAAGTCTCTCACTGCCCCTGCACCTCTGGCCTGTGCCCCAGTTCTGTATGCATAAATAAAGTAAATCTTAAAAAAAAAAAGATGGCCCTCCCTGGTGGCGCAGCCGGTTAAAGCACTGCACAAAGAAGCTTAAGCCACTTCTGCATGAGTTCGATTCCCACCTGCCCCCGGAGGAGACCACATGGCGTGGCAGACCTCTCCTGACCCGCCCGCTGCTCCCCTCAGCAGTGTACTTCGTCGACCTGCCTTTTCTGCACCCCACTCTGTCTCTGGTGAATCCTCTCACCCTCCGCATCTCTGGCCTGTACCCCAGTTCTGTATGAATAAATAAATAAATCTTAAAAAAAAAAGATGAAAAGATTGATGAGAAAATTAAGGAACAGAAGAATGAATCTGAGTCTCTAAAAGAGGAAATGAGAGAAACACAGGTGAACAAAAGATTAATGGAGGAGCAAAAGGAATCTGGGAGGGCACTCCCTGATAACCCAAGGGGTAAGGCTATGAAGCTCTCCACAGCCACTGAAACACAACTTCTATCCTGGTCAGGGAGGTGACCTCCATGGCACAGCAGACCTCTCCTGTCTCACCCACTGCTCTCCTTGCAGTGTATTCAGTTAATAAAGGTCTTCTCAGAAAAATAGAATCTTAGGGAGATTACAACTACTAAATCTCCAAGAAATATTAATAGGAACTTTAGTATTTAAATCAAAAGTAGAATAACTACAAAAAACTGAACAGCCAATTAAATAAAACCACAAAACTTAGGATGAATTGCCTGTAGTAAGCATTTATATATATAAATATATATATACAAACATGTATTTATATACATAAGCACACTAAATATCAATGAGTTGACTCAACAATAAAAGGAC